AAACTGAGGGGCAGAAAGAGAGGATGAGATCCTGAGAATGAGAAACAAGGTGAGAAACAGAGGATAAGAAACAGGTGCAGAAACACAGAATGAGAAACAGTGGATGAGAAACCGAATAGCATAAACAAAGGATGTGAAACGGAGAGAAAGAAACAGACAATGAGAAACATAGGCATAGAAATAGAGGATGAGAATCAGAGGGGCAAGAACAGAGAATGAAAAACAGAGAAGCAGAAAGAGAGGTTGAGAAACAGAGTTTGAGAAACACAGGGACAGAAACAGAGAAAGATAAACATTGGTGCAGAAACAGAGAATGATGAATAGAGGGGCAGAAACAGGGGACTGAAAATAGAGTAGCAAAAGCAGAGGGTTAGAAACAGTATTATAAATGGATGAGCAGAAACAGAAGGGGAAACGGAGGAGCAGAAACAGGATGAGAAACAGAGGGGCGGAAACAGAGAGCCAGAATCAGAGGGGCCGAAAGAGAGGATGAGAAACAGAGGGGGAGAAACAGAGGAGTTAAAATAGAGATGAAGAAGCAGATGATGAGAAAGAGCGTGGTAGAATGTGAGGAGCAGAAATGGAGGAGCAGAAACAAATGGGTAGAATCAGATGGTGAGAAACACATGGGCAGAAACAGAAGGGCATAAACAAAGGATGTGAAAGAGAGGAGTAGAAGCAGAGGATGAGAAACAGAGATTGAGAAACACACAGGCACAGAGAATGATAAACAGCGTGGAAACAGAGGATGAGCAACAGAGAATGAGAAACAGTGGAGAGATACTCAATAGCACAAAGAGAGGATGAGAAACAGAGAGGAAGAAGCAGACAATGAGAAACATAGGCATAGAAATAGAGGATGAGAAACAGAGGGGCAAGAACAGAGAATGAAAAACAGAGAAGCAGAAATAGAGGATGAGAAACAGAGGAGCAGAAAGAGGATGAGAAACCGTGGAGTAGAAAAAGTTGAGAAGCACATGATGAGAAAGGCAGGGACAAAAACTGAGAATGATAAACATAGGCGATGAAACCGAGGATGAGAAACAGAGGAATAGAAACACAGGGGCAGAAACAGAGGATGAGAAACAGAAGGGAAATAATAGAAGGGCAGAAACAGCAAGACAAAATCAGAGGAGCAGAAAGAGTATGAGAAACAGAGGGGTAGAAATAGGCAGACAGAAACAGAGGTGCAGAAACAAAGTGGCAAAAAGAGACAGTTACAAACAGAGGAGCAGAAACGAAGGATCAGAAACTGAGGTGCAGAAGCCGTGGATGTTAAGCAGAGCAGCAGAAACAGGGAATGAGAAACAGAGGATGAGAAACTGTGGTGCAGACTAAGTGGATGTGAAACAGAGGAGCAGAAACAGGCAATAAGAAACAGAGGAACAGGAATAGAGGATGAGAAACAGAGGA